TGATGGCAGAAGAGCTAGGTCCCACTTAGGGAAAAGTCTGAGCTAGGTCACGAGGTCACCTAGGACGCCGGCCAAGAAGGCCTGGGAATGTGGGACAGGGAATTTTGTCTGCTCTGAGCCCCGTCTAGGCCCCGTGTGGGAAGACAGCGGCACCGAGGGACCTGCGCAATCAACCCCTACCAGCTGCCTGACACGGGACCGAACTGAGCACTTTAAAAGCCCAGCTGTAATCGTCCCCCGCTTTGGCGTGGGGACCCTAAGACTGGGCTCTCTCCTCGCAGTTCAGAGCACAAATCCAGATGGAGGAAGGGGCAGAAAAGAGAAGGAATGCGGCGTGCCCTGAACTCCGGTCCACGTAGCGTGTAACGCAGTGGCGATGGCCAATGTGCCGGCAAGGTGACGTACCTGCCTGGGAGCCGGAACGGTGAGGCGGCTTCCAGGTTGTACAAACCAGCTGGAAGCAGGCGCTGCATCCTTGTAACGCTGCCAGAGGAGAGGCCCTTCGCAGGGGGGAGCAGAAACCCCATGGGCAAGGCGGGGGCAGGATGATTTAGCCAATTTCAGCTAAAAGTTCCCTGCTTTGATCTAGTGCCAAATGCATAAACAAACAGAGCCACAGCAAGGGCGGCCAGCGCACAAAGGCATGGACAAGCTCTGCGGATGCTGTAGTGATTTTAGCCACGCTAACACTGAGAATAGCGTTCCCCAAGCCAACACTGCATGGCACAGGTACAGCAATAATGCACTTCCAAGACGAAAGAACTCATCCTGTTAGGAAAATACTAACTTCACCCTATGTCTAGGCAACAGGCAAGCTTGTGAGGGACAAATCACAGCCCCAAGGATGAGTGCCACGTGCCATCCTGCGCATCCTAGGGGCTAGTCTGCCCCTACTTAGCTGCAAACTCTGCCTCAAGCAAGCAAAGGCAGAAATGAGGCCACGGTGGCAATCCCATCTTTTTTTTTGAGTTCAGCAGCTGGTTCTGGAGCACGTGGCTGAGAAAGCTGCCCGGGATAAAGACACGTACCTGAGACGCAGTATAGCGGGAGGAAGGACACTGCTTGCTGTCGTTTGACATGGCAAGACGGTTGGAAGCGGTCAGAAGCTTTGTCAGCAGGCCCCCTTCCCCACATGCTGGGCTTCGGCTTCCCTTAGCCTGTGAGCCAACAGGCGCGCGCGTTTACCCGCGGGCTTTGCAACGCTGCTGCCGCTAGAGGAAAAGGCAGGAACGTGACAATGGGGGAAAACAGCGGGCGGAGAAGTAAAGCTGAGTGGAGGTGTACTGCCTTTCACCTCTGACTGATGCCAGATACCCTCTTCTAAGCCATGGGCCTAAAGACCTACTCTCAGGAAACGCCTGCTTTTGCTTTAGACTCCAGCCCACCTCCTTCTTTAAAAGCTGCCACAGCCTAAAGCAAGGCGTACCAACGGTCAGCTTAAACTCTACCCAAAGCACGAAAATGCGGAGCGTCTTGTGGAGCAAGCTCAGGTTACGCCGAGAACTTCATTTGTGTTTAAATGCCGGAGCTTAATGTGTCCATAATATCCACTGGCTGCAAAGAAGATAGACTGAATGAGAACGTTCATGATTATGTCAAGAAACGCAGCACGGAAATAAGCGGTCTACTCTGCCTTACACTCAGGCGCTGTTACATACAGATTGCTTTCGGGTGGCTATTTGAGAATGTGTTTTCAGAGCTGGTTCAAAAAAATGGGTGCTTCCTTGATGTTGCAAGTCAACACATACAGGTATTAGTTATGGCTCTGATTTCCAGCCGGTTGGAAAACCAGGAATCCACAGATTTTATCTGGTCCTTTAAACATCTTGTGCTCTGCTTCACCTGCCTCAGAGGTCCCTGAAGGCCTCTCTTCTTCATTGGAGAGCTTAAGTTGGAGTTGGTTGTAAAGAGAGAGGGTTGGTTGTAAATACAGATGGTCTCGTGGGTGGCTGTCAGCCATCGCGATCACGAAATAGTTGAGTTTAAACTCTGGTGATACGAGAAAAACTGTCAGCAGCGCTACTACCCTGGATTTTGGGAGAGCGGACTTCAGGCTGCTCAAGGAATGAGTTAGTAAGGTTCCTTGGGAATCTGCTTTTGAGGCTATTAGGGTCCATAAATGCCGGTCACTTTTTAGGGGTCTTCTTTCAGTAGCAGGCAATTCCAACGTGTCTGAGGTGAAGGAAGTGAGGCAGAAGGCTGGCTCGGCTGAACAGGGAGCCTTTCTGCAACTTAGGCGGAAAAAGAAAGCGCGTGGCCTGCGGAAGCAAGGACAGGCCACACAGGAGGCCTGCAGACGCTGTTCACCACTACAGAGAGCAAATTCGTACGGCCCAAGCTCAGCTGGAGTCGAAGCTGGCTGGTACTGTGGTGGATAACCAAAAACGCTGCTTTAAGTATGTTAAGAGCAAAAGGAAGAGTAAAGAAAACATGGGTCCGTTACTTGATGAGTAACCCAAAGAGGGATGAAGATAAAGCAGAGACATTTAATGCTTTCTTCGCCTCTGTCTTTAATGCCGACGATGGGCTCTGGGGTGCCCGGAGCCCTGGGCTGGAGGACTGCAAGTGGGGGAAATGATAAGCACCCAGTTGACTTTGAACTTGTACAGGATTTGCTGCCGCAACTGAATGAGTACAAGTCTACGGGGCCCAATGGGATTCATCCCAGGGTGCTGAAGAGTTGGCCGATGTTCTTGCGAGATGCCTCATGGTTATGTATCAACGGTCTTGGGAATCTGGAGAGGTCCCAGCTTACTGCAAGTTGGCAAACGTAGTCCCGATTTTCAAGAAGGGCAAGAAAGAAGACTCTGGTAATTACAGGCCCGTCAGTGTCATAGGGAAGGCAGCAGATGTGGGGTTTTTTTGGATTTTAGCAAAGCTTTTGATACTGTCTCTCACAGTATCCTTCTGGACAACATCCAGCACACAGCTAGACATGCACGCGATACAATGGGCGACGGGTCGGGCTCAGAGACTTGCAGTAAGTGGGGTAACGTCTACCTGGTGGCCAGTTGCTACTGGTATTCCCCAGGGCTCAATTTTAGGGCCAGTTCTCTTCAAAGCTTTTATCAATGATACAGGAGCCCAGTACACACTAGGCTTGCTGCCAATACTAAATTAGAACGAGCCATTGATTCCCTCAAGGGGACAGAGGCCTTACAGAGAGCTTGATAGATCAGCATGCTGGGCAATCACCAACCATCTGAAATTTAACAGGAATAAATGCCTGATTCTGCACCTGGGACGGTGTAATCCTGGATGTACATATAGACTGGGGGACAAGACGCCGGACTGCAGCCCTGCAGAAAGGGATCTGGGCGTTTCAGTCAGTGGCAAGCTCTGTGAGTCAACAACATGCCCTGGCAGGCAAAAGGGCCAACGTTATCCTGGGGTGCATCACGCACGGTATAGTTAACCGGTCAAAAGAAGTGATGGTCTCACTGTACTCAGCATTGGTGCAGCCTCCCCTTGGGTGTGTGCAGTTTTGGGCTCCACAATGTAAGAAAGATAGAGAATCATAGAATCGTTTAGGTTGGAAAAGACCTTTAAGATTCTCAAGTCCAACCGTTAACCCAGCACTGCCAAGGCCACCACTAAACCATGTCCCTCAGCACCACATCTCTCTGGCTTTGAAATCCCTCCAGGGATGGGGACTCAGCCCCTGTCCTGGGCAGCCTGGGCCAGGGCCTGACTGCCCTTTTGGTGAAGAAGTTTTTCCCAATATCCAACCTAAACCTCCCCGGCACAACTTGAGGCTATTTCCTCGTCCCATCGCTTGTTCCTGGGGAGGAGACCGACCCCACCCCGGCTCCAGCCTCCTGTCAGGCAGTTGCAGAGAGCGATGAGGGCTCCCCTCAGCCTCCTCTTCTCCAGGCTGAGCCCCCCCGGCTCCCCCAGCCGCTCCTCCCCAGCCTTGGGCTCCAGCCCCTGCCCCAGCCTCGCTGCCCTGCTCTGGCCACGCTCCAGCCCCTCCATGGCCTTCTTGGGGTGAGGGGCCCAGCGCTGAGCACAGCACTCGAGGGGCAGCCTCACCAGTGCCCAGCACAGGGGCACGATCCCTGCCCTGGTCCTGCTGGCCATGCTATTCCTGATAGAAAACTATGTGCCCAAAGGAGGGCAACAAAGATGGTGAAGAGGGCATGGCTTATGAGGAGCAGTGAGGATACTAGGTTTGTTCAGCATGGAGGAGACGGAGGGCTGACCTCACTGCTGTCTGCAAACTTCCTCACAAGGGGAAGCAGAGAGAGGTGCTGATCTCTTTCTCTTTGGCGTCCAGCAACAGGACATGAGGGAATGGCTTAAAGCTGCACCAGGGGAAGTTCAGATTGGATATTAGGAACAAGTTCTTCACTGAGAGGGTGGTCAAGCTCCCCAGGGAAGGTCATGGCCCCAAGCCTGTCTGTGTCCAAGATGTGTTTAAACCATGCTCTTATCCATGGTTTAACTTTTAGGTTGCCCTGTGGGCAGCGAGGAGCTGGACTCAATGATCCTTGTGGGTCCCTTCCAACTCAGGAATATTTTATGATTCCATGATTCTGTGAAATCTCCAAGTCCTAAATCCAGTATAGGGCAGCCCAGTGAGGCGGGGAAAAAGCTCACCCCTGAAGCAGACAAGATTTTGCCTTGGAAACCCAAACACAGAAGAGAGTTTAGCCAGTGGAGGAAGATTTCTCCTATACTTTCGGCCAGGAAAGCAGGGGGGAATAACAACGGAGGTCAGGACACAGCACGTACGCGCTGCTGTACATGGAAAAGCAGGGAAACCTGTGCTCACCTCTAGCATCTACAGGCAGCTAAGAAACCGGCCCTGGTCACCCGCGCAGCTACGAGCATCCACACTGTGATTCCTCAGTGAACAGGAGGGTATTTCCCTTGCTCCTTTCCCCACAACATCCCGATTCTGCCTTCAACGAAAGAAAAGCTCTGTTCCACCTCCCCCTATGCAAAATAACCTCTTTTTCTGGCACTAAGGACGCTTAGACACGGTATAAATTTGGGGGTTTTTAATTTTTACAAATGTTTGAAAGAATCACTGAGCAGACAGTGACACAAATAGATATTCCAGCAGTGACAGCCACCCAATGAATGACATTTTCCTGAATTCAGTCCCAGGTTCTCTTAGGATCAAGGGTGAAAGAGAAACAAAATTTACTAGAAAAAAAGCCTGGTGCCGATGGCAGAACTCTCCCTCACTTGGCCAAAAAAAAAGGGAATTCTCATTTTACCCTACAGAAATCTAAAAATTAATGAAGATTAGAGGTGAATTACTGTATCCACATGGGTTAATACCAGTAAGCACCCTTGCCCCCTCCCCAAATTTAACTGGTGGGGTGAGAAAGGGATTACAGCTGCCTAGCGGCAGAGCCCAGTCCCGTACCTGGCTCACCACAGATGGAGCAGGGGCATGGGAACCAAATCTGGCTACTGGATTAACAACTTCAAACTGAGGGCAAACAATGCTCGTGGAGGGAGTTCAAAGCTCCTCACTCGTATCTTCTGCTGGTCAGCGCCGGCGGTTCTAGGAGGCTTTAGTTTCTTTCATTTCTTCCCTTGTTTGAGTAGGAGATTGTCGCTGAAAGGCAGACAGAAATGAGTCCAGAAAGCACAAGCAAAGCTGACCCAGACCCTCGCTACAGACTTGGGGTGTGGGGCGTCGCACCCAAAGGATCTGGACTTCGAGTCCTTCCTGCTAGGCACTTTTTTTCAAAGCCCCTTAAGCCTTCTGGGATGAATAAGACAGAATCTAGTCAGAGGTACGGGAGAAGGACCTTACAATCAGAGAGTCCACAGAAAAGAAACCAGCTCTGGCTTCCTTTCTTGATTCTAAGAAAGCTAAGCTTTTAGCTGCACGCTCTCAGCTCAGCTGGCACTGCCCTGGCCAGTAAACACTGGACAGATTAGGCAAAGCCACCAAACTCCTGCCAGCTCTGAAAACAGGGAATGGGGTTTTCTAGCATGGGCTGGAAAGCTTTTGGAGAGTAACAAGAGCATCTTTCCTAGAGTTTGTTACCCCAAACCAATACAAACTCCTACAATCATCGAACTGCCTTCTTACAGCTCTCTTTGCCGTAAACGCAGGATGCCCTGGATACGCAGAGGACGCTCCTCAGTTACTCCTGCCTTCCCCGTGCAAGGATCCTTATGGGACACACACAGAGCTCCAGCCACAGAGTATCTCCTACTTGAGGTAGATGTTTGTGGGGGCCCTGCAAGGAAGGCTTCAAGCTTCACATCACAAATGGGAACTGAGGTAGAGATGGAATAAACTTCCTGTGGCCAGAAAGGTCCAAGCCAGAAACATCCCAGGCAAACATCACCACCCTTGTTCTAAGTACTAACAAAAGGATCCAAATAAACAGTGCCTTACCTTCCTCTGTGTGTCAGGAGATGCAGTAAGCCGGGGTGGAAAAAGGAAGAAAAACAAAGAGTAAATTGATTAGATTTAATAAAAATCTCAATTTCCACAGTAACTAAGACTGCTCCCTACTTGGCTGTGTCCTCTGGCATCAGGCTCCTCTCAGAGAAAAGATCCCGAGAGCGCTCCAGAAAGAGGACCAGCTTCACAGGTAGGGGGCCGATAAATCCAGCCCCCTGGTGCCTTTACCTGGTGAAGCCCTCATCCTGCAGGTTCAGTACCAAGTTATCTGCTGCGAGATACACACGGTTTTGCGAGCCAGCAATCTGAAAAAAAAAAAAATCCATTGCAGGGATGGCATAAAGCAGTATAAATGCTCATGGAGGAACAGCACTAATAAAGAACCTCTCTCCCCTTCCAGATACTGCAGTCTTGTTTTATTCACTTAAGATCTCGGTTAAATCAATGCAATTCCCCAAAACAACTCTGTAACTTCCTGACTTCCCATCCCAGCGCCATCAGACTTTCGGAAAGAAGTGCTCATTCTGTCTCCCTGTCAGACAGATCTTCGATCCCACAGTTATCTGTTCCCTTTTCTCAGCCTGCAGGAAACCAGGAGCTTTTGGTGGCTGCAGCTGAGTGTGGGTGATGGAATCTGATGTGGATCTGGCCTTGTCACATGGAGGGCATGAACTCCTAGCCTCACATCTAATTGCCGATCATCGCAAGCTAAATCTTAAGCTCTACTTGAGCAGAGAAGGGTTGGGCAGGAACAAAGATCAGGACGGGGCAGGTCACATTCGCCTTAAATTCATCATGTGGCCACTGGGCTGGGAGGACAGCGCAAGGACTGCAGAAGGACAAAGGAAAGTCTGTGCCTTGTTGCTCACCGTTTTTGAGATGTTTTGAGCAGCTCGGATCTTACGTAGCTTGATGTAGCCTGGATTCCTAGAGCTTCACCGAGGTACAGGGGAGCAAAAGTTAAGGAAAAACCTGCTAGCAGAAGCTGCCTACCCTCAAGAAATTCTTCCTAAGCCCTATCATCAAATATCTTAGCAATCTCTATCCCAGTAACGTGGGCCTTTGGGCAGGCGTATTTTTACTTCCCCAAATCAAGAACAACGGTATGGATTATGGTCACAATAAAAGTCAAACCTTAGAACAGGGAGTGAAGGCTCATGGCCTTCTCCGATCTGACCTGTAACCTGACTCCAGCCAACTGTAGGGGGAAGAAAAAAAAAAATGAGAGACCTACTTGAAGCTATCACCTGGTAACACTCTCCTAAGCGTGAGCCCAACGTGACAGATTCTCGGGACCGTCAAGCTCACAAGCCACATCCCACAAAAACTCCCAAAGCAGGATATCATCTTGGCAGCTGTAGCTTCCCCTTCAGCCTGAACAATCTTCTGCTTCTGCTCCTGCTTGGCCTTCTCCACCAGAAACTGCGCGCGCTGTGCCTCCTGCTGGGCTGCAGAGAGAACGGCCAATAGCATTTGAAGCAGATCCCATTTTCGGAGCCCTCCACCTCCTCCAGGCCTGAGGGCTCCGCTTCCGAAAGAACTGAGAGCATTCTGGGGCCATATCCACAAATAAGAAATGTATCTAAGCGTGCTTTACTTTTTCTTAAATAAAATCAACAGCATCCAGACCCTCTAAATTTAATTCCCATAGTAAGTGATAGAGTCCCAGTCTGAAAAGGAACCCTACAGTCCTGGGAACCCAGTCCCACTGACGCTCTATCCCATTAGCTATGACCCAAAGTTTTCTGATAACACTTGTGAAATAACCTGTTTAGCTCCTTTACTAAGGAGGCTGAGATTTAGAACTCCGCAGCTGCATCAATGCAAAAACAATGACACGCTAGCCCAAATTCTGCTTCCTTGTTTAATAATTCAATGAAAAGGCAAGGGCAATCCACCCTTCCCAGGCATAAATTGAACTCACCCACTTGCTTAGCCTCCACCGCTGCTGTGTATTCACGACTGAAGCTAAGCTCTGTGATAGCCACATCGTCCAGGATGAGGCTGAAATCCTTGGCTCGCTCTGTCAATTCTCGCCTAATGAGCAGAGAGACCTGAAACACAAATATAGCAAAAGGAGCACCAAACACGGGCTGTTTCTCGCTTCCTGTCAACTCCAAAAGTGAAGCACAACTGCTCTTTGCAGTTTATTCACATCGGGCCCCAGAGAGACATTGCCTAAAACAAATCCTGAACCACGGACGTTAAATACCATCTCTGAATCTGTCGCCTCTAAGTCATGCTGCATATCCATAGCTACGTACCGCATTTTCAAAAGTATATTACAGCTTATTTATAGTTATTACTTAACTATACAATTAATAGTGCAACAATAAAAAAAACTTTAAAGTTTTTTCGCTTTCACATCCTATCACATCTAGTACCACAGTTCCTACGCGTGTTTTGGCAATAAGTATTTCCTTCTCGATCTTGAATTTGCCACTGTTTGCAGTCTGACTGTCTCCTCGTATTTGTATTCAGATTAAGAAAATAAAGACTACCACTCCCCACTGCTACACATTGTAGACATAAAATGTCTCTTAATTACTGCGGCTACTTGTCTAGTGTGGCTACTCCACTTTTTTTAGTCTCTTTGGATGAGTGTTGTTGGTAGATTTTTAATTTATTTTACTCATTTCTGAGTTACCTTTAACTTGACAGTATCTTTTTCAGGCAGGTTGACAAGCCCTGCACCAAATATTGACTTAAATAGAAATTATTGCTACAGTATCACGTCCTTGATCAGTCTAGCGTTTGCTTTTACTTTTATTGCAGCTGTTTCTGAGCAGAATTCTAAAATGATGCCAGAACCCTTTACGGAGCGAACCGCGAGCACGTAACTACGTAAAGTCACTTCATTTTCTTCTGATTATCAACTGCTTCAATACGCATAACTTCACAGTCATGAACAGTAGATGAATATATGACAACAAGGCAAATTCAAGTCAGTTTGTTCAGAAATTTCAGAGATACCCAAGTCTTTTGCTTCTGGGAAACCTACATCCCTTGTAGACATTGTTTCTTTGCTGTCACATCCTCCCTCTTCACTCACTGTCTTTATACAAGATCATTAATCCCTTCAGCGCACAGCACGCGGCATAGCACAAAACCCTGAAGTCCCTGCAGATCAGTTCTCGCAACAAGACCTGGACGCTTAGTTCCATTCTCTCCTTTTTTGTCCTGGATCAGCAATTAGTTAAGAGATGCTTTGTGTTTCATCTTTCTGACAGCTTATCCTCTTTAGCAGTCTCACGCGGGGTCTCTTCTAAAGCCTTTTAAAAGAAGATCAGCAGCTTCTCTCTCCCTCAGCTGTGACAGATATTCTCAGAATCCCTGGCAACCAAATTATCAGAACGCAAACTTTCAGGTATAGGCTTTTATATGCTAAAGATTTCTATTATTTTGCAACCTGCCCAGACTACTCTCTGATCTTTTTCTAAACAGAAGTAGTTGCTACCCTTCTGTAGCACCCATCACTGAAAGTTTACTGCTTTAACTGCTCATCCACTTTGCTTTTCAGATCCTTTGCAACTGTTTAATTTGCTCTGACAGCTCTTCTGAGACCCATGAAGCACCAGCTAATTATTTTTTTTTTAAACCAGTTCTACTGTTACCTGTGGACTATGATGTAAATCAGCTCTCCCTCCCCCATCGTTACGTTACGGTGCAGTTTGGCACTCTATATACCAATGAATCCGATTTTCTTCTCGGAAGATAGTGGTACAGCCTTAGTGTTTGTATTCGTATCGGAATCAGACTGTAAGTGGGATACAGTTCCACACCCTTTCCGTTTGGATGCACTATCTACCAGCCTAATATATTTATCCTTCAGCTGTTATAACATCCCTTGTATGCCCTAGTTGTTTGCAATCTGAGGGTAAGCCTCCTCCAGAAAAGTTCACCTGGGCTCTCTGAGTGATGAGCTGCGAAGCATTAAACTTGGCTACCACGCTCTTGAGCACTTCGTTAACGATGGAAGGGAGGACTCGCTCCTCGTAGTCCAGGCCCAGGCGCTGGTACATGCTGGGCAGCTCTGCAGCGTTGGGGCGTGTGAGAACCCGCAGCGAAATGTTCACCATCTGCAAATCTGGAGAGGAGAGGGAGACGTGAGCGGGGCCAGCGCCGCAGCCGGACTCCGGCTCCCTCCCACCCCACCGGGGCCGGCCCGCGGGGCCGCTCTCACCTTTGGAGCCGGTGGGGGAGGAGATTTTCCGTGGCCGGGCTCGAATGTCGTAGATGATGGGGTACTGGAACCAGGGGATCCTGCGAGGGGCGGGGGGCCGGTTAGGCGGGGCGGTCAGCACGGCGCGGGCAGCCGCAGCGGGCGGGGGC